ATGCTCAGCATGCTATTAGGGCAGCAACTCTTTGCTGGGGCTGGGAGCTCTGTCAGACGTCAGTGTGGGAAAATGGGTAATGCCTTCCAACAGGAGTGAGTTTTCTAAGTAATTGATATCTAGTCTTTAAGTATCAGCAGTTAATGCATTTAAATATTAAGTGGAGAGCCTTCTGACCAGATTCTTCTCTTCCCTGTACAACTCTCAGTTGTTGGTTTTAGCTTCATATAGAATGTTCTAGGACCGTCATTTATCCAAAATGTGGTCAGAGGGCCACCTGTATCAGAGTGACCCAGGCAAGGAGGAGTCGGTTGTTGGAAATGTGGATTCCTGCCCTGGCTTGGTTGCAGCGTCATCCTGTACACTAAAACAGTTTCGGGTTTGATCCCCAGTCAGAGCACATACCTGGGTTGTGGGTTCCATCCCCGGTCAGGGCTTGTGCTGGAGGCAACCAATCAATGTTTCTCTTCCTCCCTTCCTCCCCCCTCCCTTCCTCCCCCACTCCCCTCCCCCCTCTCTCCCCCCATCCCTCCCTCTGTCCCTTCCTCCTCCTCTCAAACTCACTGAACATATCCTGGGGTGAGGATTTAAAAACAAAGAAAAGAAAATGTGGATTCCTGGGCCCGATGCCAGCTGGCATTCTTGACAATCAATGCCAACTGGGCCCAGAAATCTGCTTCATAAACACAGTTGCCAGGCGATTGTGGGGCATCTGGATGGGGGTTCTGAAGGAGTGGGACACTGGCTCTATCTGGTGTGTTCACTGCTCCACCCCTAGCACCAAGTCGCTGCCGGGCCCCTAAAATGGGTGCAGGGCCTGCCTGTTGAGTGAGTGAGACTGTACATACTTGTGCCGTTTTCTGCTTCTTATCTGCTAGGGGTTAGGGATTCGTGCTAGAATTTAATAAAAACTAATAATATATCTTAACTGACCAGATAGGGGTTCTCCTCTCCGTAAACTATTTGACCTCTGGAATGTGAACATGCCCCTTTTTCCATGGCACACTGTTTTTTTGTGTCTGGTGTAAAGTAGGTGGATACTGAATGGCTGTATGTTGGGTCCTCATTTTCCCCTATGCTCTGAATAAGGTTGCTTCCAAACTGAGGAGCTTCTGTGTTATTTTGACCTCGATATTTATCTGGGCTATTTTGAAGGACTAATTTCCAAAGTTCTGTTAGCTAAGTAAGATGGAGCTATTTTTAAGAAAATGCAAGGTGGTCTTTTTTGTGCCTACGTGTGATTATGAATCCTGCCCCTCACCCCTGCTTTGAGTAAAATGTGTGCTTTCTAAAAATACGCTATTGAAATATTCCAAAGGGGGTTACATTGTGAGAACAATGGAAATGCTTGTCATCTTTCGTATGGTTTGAGATTATTAGAATTTAAATGTATTTCTCTTTCCCTTGTATTTTTAAGAGTCTGAGGGTACCACTCCAAACCTTTTGAGCCTCTTCTGTTTTTGTTCGTTCGTTTTTACCAACCAGACATCTAAGTATCCATTGTTTTAAGTATCTTTATCTACTCTATTTTAATTTTTGATGTTTCATTTTTTAATCAACTGAAAATTACCTTGTTCCTGTTGAATAATTTTCTTCCCTCTGGCCCCTCTCCTCTTCTCATACCTTTAGAGAAAATGATGCAGAATTGAGAGTGGACGGCATATTTTTTCAAGAGACATGTTTATACACACACATACTCTCATGCATTTCATTAAGAAAAAAAGAATATTGTGTATTATTACATTGTTTCCAATGGAACAGTGTTTCCGATTAAGGTAAGCAGGCACAAATGGAGAATCTGTTTGATACCAATTATTTTTTTTATTCATTTAGCAAATGATACTTGAGTGCCTTCACAGTGCCAGGCACAAGGCTAGGCTCTGAGATAGAGAAATAAATGGAATAGTTTTTAATTTAATGGGTTCAAATTCTAGTTAGACAAAAGGACAGCCAACCATCGTGTTAAACAGCAGAAATGTATCTGTGAGGGCTGGTGGGAGTATAAGATAAGGAAAGGAGAACTGAATGATACAGGGTTAAGGATTAGACAGGGTGGACAGGAGATGAAAGTGGTTTGCTGGCATATGAGCTTAGCATACCCTAAGAATTAGAAGGGGTTGCATGAACCTCACCATGAATAACTATATCCGTGTTAGTAACTCTTCATTGTATTTATCACCCGAGAGAGGTTTGCTGAAGGACTTCCGAACAGATTAACCCAGGAAGAACCAGTCAAAGCAGAGCGGTTGGAAGAAGCCAGGCACCAGTTCAGTAGGGACTCTCTCAGTCTCAAGAAGACATGGGGACAGCTTTAATTGAAGCAGCACTTTTTATAGCTAAACCAAAATTTTAAAATGTGTTGTTTGCCTTAAAACCCAACACATTTTGAAATTTTGGTTTAGCAATAAGATTCATGAAACTTAAACACAGGATATATAAGTTTCAGAAAGTTTTATGAAGTGTCAGGTATTAACTTCTGTTAGTGATTTCAGCTTTAAATTCTCCAACTGTTGGCTCAATGCAAAGTAACTTGTGTGCTGACTTACAAGGGTGTTTTTCTGGTATTCGGTGTGTATTTTCAGTGGGGAAGTAATTACAGCTACTTGAAGGTACTGAGTTCTGCTTTAATCTCATGGTCCCAGAGTTATATTTTCTGCAGAGCATTTGTATTGGAAAGAAATTTTTACCTTTTCATTTACAATCTCACTAAGGCAGTAAGCATGGAAAGCCCTGTAAATGCCCTAAATAAGTGGAATTTCAGAAATCTGGAAGCAGGGACTAGGAGACTGAAATTAAATGCTTGTTGTATGTGTAGGTAGATATTAGGTATGTCATTCAAAATAGGTTGTAATTACATAATACACTTATAAAATCATCAGGGGCAGTATTATTCTTAATTATGCCCCAAATCCCTGTAACACGTTCTTTTTACATGTATTTTGACAAGCTCTTTTTGATTTGAGCTTAAGTGGACCAGTATTAATTGACATTTAGTTTTTAAAAACTGAATTGTAAACAACCTTGGCAAAAGATAATCTAATAAAATAGAAAAAAAGAGATAAGAACCAACTTATTTTAAAAATAACTATTTGAGACATTATTATTGTATAGATATTCATAGGTATATAGGTCACAATTCTGTATTGTACAGTATTATTTTATTTTCTACTTTTGGCTCTGTTTTGTCCTGAGGAAACCTTAGAATTTCCTTACATTGAACACACAGATCATATATTTATCTTGTTTGCATGCTTGCTTCTCTTACTGACATTTAAAGCCGTAACAGCACGGCTGTGCCTTGTTAATCCATCTATTCCTGCAGCGTCTGAGACTTAATAAAAGTTATAATCTATTATAGTTTCCAGGTGTTCATGATCTTTCCATCTTTTCTTTGTTTTTGGATCATTACCATTTGTTTCTTGACTCTGAGTAATTGAACTAGATTTTATGGGTGGAAAATCTCAGTAGCGTGCATGGTGTCCTCTCTTCCCATCCAGTCTGCTCTGTGTGGCCTGTATCTGCGCTGAGCTGGTACCACCTCCCCCTTCACATTCCCTCTACCACCAGTCCCCAGATTCCACGTGTTTTTCCACATTCTGTCATCCTCCTGCTATGTGCTTGTCCCCTGCCTGAGCACTAATGGGACAAAGGTCAGAGTTTGTAACAGGTCAGGCAGGTTCTTCACAGTCAGGCATCCACTAGCATCTGGTCTGTCTCATCTCCAGCAGGATTCCCTCTGCCTGTTGCAAGTGCCCGTGCTCCAACTTTACATTAAGAACAACCAGAACATGGCTTTCCAAAAATGCCCTGTTCTCTATTACCCACTGCCTTTGCACCTCCCCTGTGGGTACTTTACTGAGCAGACGACTTTTCTGTTTCTGGATTCCTCAGTGCTCCACAGCATGTTGTTCATTGAGCAGTTACAACTTGTATCAAACTGTGTTGTTAGTTCATGCATCAGCCTTTCCTACCAGACCAAGTTTTACAGAGTCCCTGACCTACTTGTTCTTAACATCCTGAAGGCCAAACACAGTTCCCAGCATATGGAGACAGTCAGGATACCCTTTAGATGGGAGCTACTTAATTTGACTGGGATTATGAAAGTCTGGAAACAAGACAATTTACAGAGATATACATGTTTAGACCTAAAATGGATATGTGCCTACTAAGCAAAGAAGTTTATTATGCCATCTGAAAGGACATCTGTGGAAGTTTTCCTAACAAGACAATTAAAGTCGACTCTCTGGAAAATCAGATTCTTAGGGTGCCATCTGGGGCACATTTGGGGCTAGATAAGCCTGCATCTATTTTGAGTATTCCCTGAACTTGCTAGGTGAGCCTATGTGTTTATAAAAAATTTGCTGTGTAGAAACATATTCCAAATAATACTCATCGTAGGCATGTAAAAAAAATCAGGCTGTGGAGAACCTTAATGGAAATAAAAGCAGAGTGCCAGTACTTCCCAAGATCATGAAGGTTGTTTGTACACTGGTGCTCGTTACTGTGGTGCTGATGATCAGCATAAGAAAATGTAACGCACAGCAGACTCACAAAAATTTCTGAAGCTTGGATGAGCATTTTTTAAAAATTTCAATTACAGGTGACATGTGATATTATGTTTCAGGTGTACAACGTACGGTTAGATATTTATGTAACTTATGAGGTGATCCCCCAGTAAGTCCAGACTCCATCTGGCACCACGCACAGTTATCACAGCAGTGTGGACTGTATTCCCTGTGCTGTACTTTACATCCCTGTGACTGGTTTTTAATGGGCAATTTGTGCATCTTAATTCCTTTATCTTTTCCAGATGAGCATTTTTTAACACTTTTTCAAGTGCAGAGATTCAAATCAACATATTCTTAGTATAACAATTTGTATAAGAAATTTTTGAGAATTGCAGATAAAGGTCCTTTCAATTTTTGCTTTAAACACAGGAACTGTCTGATTTTAGTAATTCTCTTTTAATTTCAAAAGAAACTGTGGTTTTTATTTTTCAGTGTTGAAAATGAGCCCATGAGTACAAGTCAGAAAAAGGAAAATGTACTTTCATCAGAAGCAGTAAAGGTATAGTTTTAAATTAATATTTATATTAAGCAAATATTTCTCTTAATTTCTGCTCATTCTTATTTCTTATCAGAATTAATATTTTATATTAATATTATATTTTACATTAAGCAAATATTTCTCTTAATTTCTGCTCATTCTTATTTCTTATCATTCTTATGAGATTCTGTCATCTCATTTGACATTCCAAAAAGAGAACTTTATGTGGAATCCAACCCAGCTGTATCAGACGTTTGTGTCTTGGGCTGGGGTGGAGGTGGGGGCAAAGGGCTGACCTGAGAACGTCGAACGAGTGTGGTGGTCTCATCCCCACTTGGCCACTCACCAGCTGCGTGGGCTGCAGCTGAGGCATTTAACTTCTTTGCTCCTTAGTTTTCTGTCCGTAAACTGCATCACCTGACCTCCACAGCCTCTTTTTATCTGGGAAGGTCTTTGATTTGTGTTTTGTTTCCTCAAGTGCTGCTGACAGCTAATAGTGCTTTTGAGAGACGTTAATAACATGTTCTCACATGTCATTAATATGTGATGGTGTGTTTGGTCAGCTCACATGTGAACTAGCTTTCTTTGCTTCAAAAGTGTGTATCAGCTATACATCTACCTAGATAGATACTGACAAGTATGGTTAAAAAAACCTTGAAAATCATGAAACCTTATAATATTTCTTTTTACTCATATGGATTTTCTATAAATTAGGAGTTTGTGTTATTTGGTGATGTGAGGCCTGGTGTGTGGTCAGGTTTCGGTGGCTGTCCCACCTGCATAGAGTTCAGTCCCAGTTGCTGTCTTCATACGTGATTTGTGACAGTCTGTCAAGGAGAACCGTGTACTTTCTAAGGATCTCAGTATAAGTTAGCCTGGTCAGTGGAAGGGCCAGGAAGTCATCTGAATTCTTCAAAGTGGGGCACTTTTAAACATTGTATAAAGTCCAAATGCATTAAATAAGGTCAAGATAAAGCAGTTTTGGTCTTTAGTCCAGCCTTCCCCATCATTGTAAACAATATAAGCATTTTTGAAAGAAAAATTAGTATCTGTTTTTTTAAAAACTTTATTGAAAGAAAAAATCAGGATCCCCTTGCTCCCTTTATTTTTCTTCCTTCCTTTGTGAATTTGGCTACAAAATCCTGCTCCCAGGTTTTATAACGTCTGCCACCAACTCCTGTGCAGCCAGTTGTTAACCAGCTTGCTGGTTTATCACTACACAGACTCGATGGCTTTCTTCCTCTCCTGTTTTTGCATGTCTTGAGTTGCCCTACTTCAAGATTCTCACTTCTAATTCTGTATATACAGCCTTGCCCTTGAATTGCTTCACAGGAAGTGTTACTTGTGAGATCTCAGACCTCAAAGTTTCTGTGGCTGCCAACTCTCGTCTTTCCCTATCTTAATCCTTCCTTGTCTCTCTACCTACCCTTGACCTTCACCAAACCTTCCTCCTCTCCTTGTTGCCTTCTCCCTTCTTGGTCTCTACTTGTTTCTCTACTTAGCCTGTAACTGATAGTGTACTACTTCAGCTGTAATCTCACTGTAAAAACCTTTGGTCTTCAGACTTGGCCTTCAGACTTTAATTTCTAATTGTGCTGCTTTCCACCTGTAGAGATTTCATCTACAAAGTTGCATTTTTGTAGATTCAGTAAATATATATGGTGGGCAAATAGAGTGGCTCAGCCTCATAATATGAAGGGCCTTATAATATGAAGGGCCTATTGCTGGGCCTTCATGATTACAATCTTTTCTATCTACTCTTAATACCTGGTTTTGAGTGCCTGTGATAATTTCAGTTTAGGACCTGGGTCCCCAAGTAAATATAACTCAGTCATGAGGCTATTTCTCCTTGTGATTTGGGACCTATAAGTTTATTTATACATGGGCAGTCCAGTTAGCCCATGATAGAAAGAGCACCATGGTATTCTCCCTGGGGTAGCTTGAGCATTTTGGCACATGTAACTTTTCTTTTATCTTCTAGAAACTACTAGTAGAATTTCTGCAGGGACCTGTTGCTACAAGGCATCAAAAATATGTATTTTGATCATTCCAATAGTCCTATACTTTGGGGGGGAAAGATTAGCAACAATATTTATGATCTTATTTTATATAGTCTCAATTTAAGTTTTGGTGTTTAGCAAGAGTCATAAAACATGCATCTGCTTTCCTTCTAATGAATTGTTTTCTGAGAACAGCACTCCACTGCAACGTGACTTTCTTGCCATACTTCCATCTTGTTAACCTGAATTTTATGGTAATGCCTTCTGTGGTAAGAAAAAATGTACAACTTTTTTTTTGAGTCTGAAATGTAAAAGGTCTATATATAATGAATATTTTTACACATTTTGTGAGTATTTGACTTTGAAATGGCAATTCAAGATGTTGAAGATGGTTTGATTATAAACTTAAGCTACAAAAATTAATTGTATTTTTTAAACAAACAGAGACTATGAAAGCTTTATATTCAGACATTCAGATATTTTTAGTTTTTAAAATGTCATATGCTACACGGTCACGTGCAACTCCGTGACAGGAGGTATGTTCTGCGAAGTGCGTCATTAGGCGGTTTCGTCTTTGTGCGAACGTCACAGAGAGCACTTACACAGACCGACGTGGTGCAGCCTACCGCACACCTGGGCTGGATGGGATGGCCTATTGCTCCTAGGCTACAAACCTGTACAGCACGTTACTACACAAAACATAAGATTAAATCAAGCGCAAGCCAAGATGATGCAATCGGGAGATGTAAACACCCTTTGAGGCTGCTGCTGGCATAACACAACGTACTATTTTACAGCAACCTTCTTTTTAGTAAGAAAGAATAAACTCAGTTCTTATATCCAGTCAAGATGGTGGTGTACTCAGACATGGCTCACCTCCTCCCACAGCCACATCAAAGTTACAACTAATAGGTAGAAACAGCCATCACTCAGAACCATAAGAAATTCAGCTGAGTTGAAGTCTGACAACTACAGAATTAAAGAAACCACATCCATCCAGACTGGTAGGAGGGATGCAGATGAGGAACAAGCTGGTCCCACATCCAAGTGTGGTGGATAAAATTTGGGCAGGGATATCTCGGGCAAGGAGTCCCAGACCCACACCAGGACCCCCCAGCCCAGGGTTCCAGCACCAGAAACGTAAGTCCCCATAACTTCTGGCTGCAAAACCCAGCAGGGATTGAGTCAGTGGAAGAAACTGCTGAAGCCCCAACCAGTTCCTCCTAAAGAACCCACATACAGACTCATCTCCTTGGTCTCACTCCCTCTGATCTCCAGCATCAGGATAGCAGGTAGCTTGAAATGCATCTGTGGCATACAGGGAGAAATTGAAGTGTTTGGCATCAAGCCAAGCAAAGGCCATTGTCCCTTTTCTCAACTCTCCCCCCACAGAACCACAGATCAACAGGCAGATGTCAGATCTGAGATGCCATCAACCTGCCTGACACTATTTGACCCACCCTGGAGATCCCCAGAGACTTGCCCCACCCAGCTCAAGGCCCACCCAGCTCAAGGCCCACCCAAGCTGCTTTTTCATGTGAATGGCTGGTCTTGGCTCCTGCATCACAACTTCCTAAATCCTCCCAAACAAGCAACAGCTGTCCTCAGCGAGCCTCAGGCCTGCCACTAGCAACAGCCAGCATAGGTTCACAGCTTGGCAGTACCTGGGAATCTCCAAGCTCAGAACAAGTAGCAGCCATCTCAGATTGCTTTATAATTCAGGCAGCATGGCACTGGGCAATACATAGGTAGGGGCTGACCTGGGCCTGCACCACCCAAGACACCCCTGAGCCTGCTCACCCAGTAGGCAGTTACAGACCACGTCAGAATACCAGCATCCTGCCCCTACACAGCTGATCCTCTACATACAGTGGAGTGTTGTGGTCAGTGATCACAGCCAGTCCTTGCAGCTGACTGGCCTGAGTAAATCCCTCTCATTGACCTGCCAACAGCTATCAAGGCTCAACTACAAGAGGAGGGTGTACTCAGCCCACTTGAAGGGTGCACTTTGAGTACCCAGCTTGGGTGATAGGGGAGGCTGGGCCACTGGGCACTAACTTCCTTAGGGCCACACTAGCAAGACACAGAGTCAAAGCAGCTCTATCTAACACTTAGAAACAAACACAAGGAGGCTGCCAAAACAAGGAGACAAAGAAACTTGGAGATAAGTAATCTATCAGATACAGAGTTCAAAACACTGGTTATATAAGGATGTTCAAGGAACTTAATGAGGACCTCAACAGCATAAAAAAGATCCAGTCAGAAATGAAGGATACACTAATTGAAATAAAGAACAATTTACAGCAAAACAACAGAGTGGATGAAGCCAAGAATCAAATCAATGATTTGGAACATAAGGGAGCAAAAAGGAATCAATCAAAACAACAAGAAGAAGAATGAATCCAGAAAAATGAGGACAGTATAAGCAGCCTCTGGGACAACTTCAAAAGTTCTAACATTTGCATCATAGGGGTGCCAGAAGGAAAAGAGGAAGAGCAAGAAATTGGAAATGTATTTGGAAAAATAATGAAAGAAATCCCTAATTTGTTGGAGGAAATAGACATGCAAGTCCAGGAAGCACAGAGAGTCCCAATGGGTGATGTGTGAAGTCCACCACCCAATGTGATGCATGAAAGAAGCCCACTCCAAGACACATCATAATTAAAATGCCAATGGTTAAAGGTAGACAGAGAATCTTAAAAGCAGCAAGAGAAAAGAAGTTAGTTACCCACAGGGGAGTTTCAGTAAGACTGTTAGCTGATTTCTTAAAAGGAACTGCAGGCTAGAAGGGATTGGCAAGAAATATTCCAAGACACAAAAAGCAGGGACCTACAGCCAAGATTGCTGTGCCCGGCAAGGCTATCATGTAGCATCAAAGGGCAGATAAATAGCTTCCCAGATGAGAAAAAAACTAAACCATTATTCTTTGAATTGTTAAAGGGAGTTATTTAAGAAGAAGATCAAAACTATGAACAATAAAATGGCAGTAAATACATATCTATCAATAATTGAATCTAAAAA